GGCCAGCCAGGTGCCTTGCTGTCGTCACTCCCAGGACAGCCCCCGAGTCACCACTTTCGTGTTCCTGGTGCAGGTGGAGCTAGTGCAGCTGGTGATAGACGGTGTAAACTACCTGATCGACTGTGAGCGGCGGTTGGAGAAGGGGCAGGACATCCGCATCCCCTCGCCAGTGCCACAGTTCCGGCACTGAGTGGGGCCAAGGCAGCGCCAGCCCTGCGGGGCCCAGCTCTCCCCGTAGCTTGTGTGATCTCTGTGCCCAGCATGTTGCTGCATCCTGTTACCCACAACGAGCCAGGCCAGACCCCATAAACATGTGCTGCTGTAGCCATGGCTTGGGCTCCTCCTTACCCCAGCACCCACCACCTCACCAACCTCCAAGTGTGCTATGCCCCTGCAGAGGTACCACTCAGGTCTGGGTTTCCTGGGCCTGCCCTGACCAGCTCTCCCCAGGATGTCCCTGAGCTACCGCTGCCCCGGGGAAAAGTCCTGGGGGGCTGCTGGGAGTGCCCTGGCCTGGGGTACTGCAGGAGCTGCATATGGCTAAGGAGCTGGGATAGGGAGCACCTTGCTGCAGGGTGCCAGGAGCTGCTGGAAAAGTCAAAGCTGGGCAGGGAAAGGTGCTCTGGGGCCACATGTTGTTGCAGGCAGCAGGGACCAGAGCTCAACATGTCCGTCATGAGTTTACTGAGATGCTCACAGAAAGCAACAAGGAAGGCAGAGAAGGAGAACCATGGTGAAGCCAGACCTGGCCCTGGCTCTGCTCCTGTCTGCAGAGATAAAAGCCCAGTCAGAGCCGAGTGTCAGCGCCGTTACTCTGCGGAGGGGCTTGTGTCCCTGCTGCTGCTGAGAGCCTGGGCTTAGGGCCAGGGGCGGCACACGGAGGCCCCGTCTGATCAGAGGGACTGGGACATGGCTGAGAGGGAGCACAAGCTGGGCGGGCAGCAGGGCCAAACCTTACGGTGTCCTGAGGTGCCTGTGCTCAGCACAGGTGTGCAGCACAGGAACAAGGTGTGATGGGGTAGGGTAGCTGCTGGTATAGGCTGAGCACTGTGTGGAGACAAAGGCCACCTGCTGCTCTCACCTTGGCTGTCTGGGGTGGCCTCTCCCTCACACCCGGCAATGGTCAGAGCCTGGTGCTGGGCACTGCCAAGCCAC